TGTCAGCAGTCACATCATCAATAAATACAAGAGAACCAGTTCCATTGGCAGCCATACATGCCCACGCCATGACACTACCACCACCATGCTTCACTGATGAGGTGGTATGCTTAGGATCATGAGCAGTTCCTTTCCTTCTCCATACTCTTCTCTTCCCATCACTCTGGTACAAGTTGATCTTGGTCTCATCTGTCCATAGGATGTTGTTCCAGAACTGTGAAGGCTTTTTTAGATGTCGTTTGGCAAACTCTAATCTGGCCTTCCTGTTTTTGAGGCTTACCAATAGTTTACATCTTGTGGTGAACCTTCTGTATTCACTCTGGTGAAGTCTTCTCTTGATTGTTGACTTTGACACACATACACCTACCTCCTGGAGAGTGTTCTTGATCTGGCCAACTGTTGTGAAGGGTGTTTTCTTCACCAGGGAAAGAATTCTTTGGTCATCCACCACAGTTGTTTTCCTTGGTCTTCCGGGTCTTTTGGTGTTGCTGAGCTCACCGGTGCGTTCCTTCTTTTTAAGAATGTTCCAAACAGTTGTTTTGGCCACGCCTAATGTTTTTGCAATCTCTGATGGGTTTGTTTTGTTTTTTCAGCCTAATGATGGCTTGCTTCACTGATAGTGACAGCTCTTTGGATCTCATCTTGAGAGTTGACAGCAACAGGTTCCAAAAGCAAATAGCACTCTTGAAATGAACTCTGGACCTTTTATCTGCTCATTGTAATTGGGATAATGAAGGAATAACACACACCTGGCCATGGAACAGCTGAGAAGCCAATTGTCCCATTACTTTTGGTCCCTTAACAAGTGGGAGGCACATATGCAAACTGTTGTAATTCCTACACCGTTCACCTGATTTGGATGTAAATACCCTCAAATTAAAGCTGATAGTCTGCAGTTAAAGCACATCTTGTTTGTTTCATTTCAAATCCATTGTGGTGGTGTATAGAGCCAGAAATGTTAGAATTGTGTCAATGTCCCAATATTTATGGACCTGACTGTAAATCCTAAACAAAAAAAAAAGAACACTAATGCAGCCCTCACATCGAAGAAATGGTAAGCTGCAATATAATAAATGTTTGCTTTTAGGTTTAATATCACTTTAAGGGTTCAAGCACCATATTAGTGAGTGCCATTCCATGTGATTTGGGGATCGATGATCACACCATGGGGCCTATTCATATGTGAAAGAAGACAGAAGAGCACAAAGGTCTGAGTTTTGGAACTGTTATGACTGGCCAATAGGGGGAGCACATTCATCTCATATTACTGTTCCACGTAGAAGGAATAATATGTGTTTCCAATAAAGTGTTAATTACTGTGGATATTTATGGGCGTGGTTTATTCATTTGTCTTTTAAAAAATTATACTGTGTTAATATTTTGCACTGATGTGTATAGTTATGATTTTATATTTCTCCATGTATTAGTCATCATTTGTCTATTTTCTTATCCATCCAGTAATTAGGTAGATATTTTCTGAGCGCCACACTTTTTTTTTGAATATTTCAAAATGGCAGCATTTTCTTTGTCAATAAATAGACTGCTCAAAAAAAATTACATTGAAAACCCATCAGATCTCAATGGGGACAAATCTTCTGCTGGATCTCTATACTGATATAGACTGGGGTAATGTGTTAGGAATGTAAGGATGCCCCATCGTTTGATGGAAATGAAAATGATCAACCTACAGAGGACTGAATTCAAAGACACCCCGAAAATCAAAGCGAAAAAATGATGCGGCAGGCTAGTCCATTTTGGTGAAATGTAATAGCAACAAATCAGAATGTTCCTCAGTAGTATGTATGGCCCCCACGTGCTTGTATGCATGCTCCTAATGAGATGATGGGTGGTGTCCTGGGGGATTTCCTCCCAGATCTGGACCAGGGCATCACTGAGCTCCTGGACAGTCTGAGGTGCAACCTGGCGGCATCGGATGGACCGAAACATGATATCCCAGAGGTGCTCTAATGGATTTTGGTCAGGCGAACGAGGGGGGCCATTCAATGGTATCAATTCCTTCATCCTCCAGGAACTGCCTGCATACTCTGCCACACGAGGCCGAGCATTGTCCTGCACCAGTTGGAACTTAGGACCCACTGCACCAGCATAGGGTCTGACAATGGGTCCAAGGATTTAATTCCAATACCTAATGTTAGTCAGGGTGCCATTGTCTAGCCTGTAGAGGTCTGTGCGTCCCTCCATGGATATGCCTCCCCAGACCATCACTGACTCACCACCAAAACGGTCATACTGAATGATGTTACAGGCAGCAGAACGTTCTCCACAGCTTCTCCAGACCCTTTCACGTCTGTCACATGTGCTCAGGGTGAACCTGCTCTCATCTGTGAAAAGCACAGGGTGCCAGTGGCGGACCTACCAACAGCAAATGCCAATCGAGCTCTATGGTGCCAGGCAGTGAGCACAGGGCCCACTAGAGGACGTCGGGCCCTCAGGCCACCCTCATGAAGTCTGTTTCTGATTGTTTGGTCAGAGACATTCACACCAGTGGCCTGCTGGAGGTCATCTTGTAGGGCTCTGGCAGGGCTCATCCTGTTCCACCTTTCACAAAGGAGCAGATACCGGTCCTGCTGATGGGTTAAGGACCTTCTACAGCAGGAGTGGGCAACTGTGGCCCTCCAGCTGTTGGTGAACTACAAGTCCCATCATGCCTCTGCCTTTGGGAGTCATGCTTGTAACTGTCAGTTTTGCAATGCCTCATGGGACTTGAAGTTCTACAACAGCTGGAGGGCCACAGTTGCCCACCCCTGTTCTACAGCAATGTCCAGCTCTCTTAAAGTAACTGCCTATCTCCTGGAATCCCCTCCATGATCTTGTGCCATCCTGGAGGAATTGGACTGCCTGTGCAACCTCTGTAGGGTTCAAGTATGGCCTCATGCTACCAGTAGTGACACTGACCCTAGCCAAATGCAAAGCTAGTGAAACACAGTCAGAAAACACGAGTAGGGAAAAAAATGTCAGTGACCTCCACCTGTAAAACCATTCCTGTTTTGGGGGTTGTTTCATTGTTGCCCATCTAGTGCACCTGTTGTTAATTTCATTAACACCAAAGCAGCTGAAACTGATTAACAACCCCCTCTGCTACTTACCTGACCAGATCAATATCCCAGGAGTTTCATTGATTTGATGCTATACTCTGATTAAAACGTGATCCTTTAATTTTTTTGAGCAGTGTAAATAAAAGACCCTAACCAAAAAAAAACGTAAAAACCTAAACTCCAACCCCAAAACACTAAGAAAAAAAAAAAAACCTTTTTTGAGTAATTTTTTTTTTCACTGTAAAAGGGGAAAATAAAAAAAGTTAATATAAATTAAAATGAAAAAAAAGAACCCGGAAAAACTAAAATACATAAAAAATAAAAGGATAGTAGCAGCATAGCAAAATAGCTGGTCACTGACACGCAATAAAAAGAAAAAGAAAAGTAAACATATAAATAAAAAATGTAGTCCTAAAGAGGACTGCTTGACAACCTGCAATCCATGGCAATGTATCAGTGACAATGCACAGCTCTGTAATAGAACACTCGCACAGTTCATAGTACAAGGACCTCTCCCTGCAATCTCAGTCAGTTGACCATCACACTACCCAACACACTAACATAGGGCTTGTTTCGAGTTGCGGTGCCCTCTGAAGAGTGATACGTGGTGCTTCGTTGCTCATGTTTTAACCCCTAAAAACCATGTGCCACAAATGCATACGTGGGAGTGGCACGGCTTCATTCAGTTGAATGGGTTGCATTTGGCTGGCAGCACTGCCCACCATGTGCAATATTGAGGATAAATTTTGCCACCCCCCCCCCAACTGCATGTGTAAATGAGGCCACAGGGCTGCTGGGTGATCTGACTTTTAGGCTTCATGTACAGGAGCCTACCCTGACCGCCAGCCACGGATAAATGCAAATCGTGGCAAAACCACGTTTTCCGGTTTCCCGAGGTCGGTGGTCAAAACGTTTCTATCTTGAATGCGATTCTTCCGCGTTCAGGAGAGGGAGGTTCAGCTTCACCTAAAAGCGGCACCTCCTAAACTCCGCTAAAAGCCAGTGTGTACATAGACGCACAGGCTTTTATGGAGGTGTAGGAGCTTTGGCAAACAAACGCCAATAGCTCCTAAACTCGAGTTTAGGAGCTGCTAGTGTACATGAAGCCTTAGGCTTAGTTTACATGTGGAGTTGGGGGGCAGTAAGAACATGCAGTTCTGCCATATGTTTACCGCCCTCCAACCACTTCCATTAAGCTGTCAAGGCAGCCCTACGAGGGTATAAACATGCTGCAGCAAAAATTGTCCCTGCTGTCGCATTTTGAGGGCAGCAGTGCCTGACAAACATGTCCTATGGAAGTGAAAGGGGCAGCACCACAGCTGCATGCAATGCATGCAGGCTTTTAGGGGCTAGAACAGGTGTGGAGAAGTGACTTGACACCTCCTCACCACCTGTCAAACACCCTCTGAAAAGTGATCCACTCTTCAGAGGGCGATGCATATATAAATGAGCCTTATAGTGAAGGAGCTGGGACTTTGGCCAAAACACATTTGGGTTGATTTACTTAAAATTATACTAAACCCAGGACCCTGCATTCACTATATCTGGTCTCCCCGGACCCTGCATTCACTATATCTGGTCTCCCCTGACCCTGCATTCACTATATCCAGTCTCCCAGGACCCTGCATTCACTATATCTGGTCTCCCAGGACCCTGCATTCACTATATCCGCTCTCCCTGGACCCTGCATTCACTATATCTGGTCTTCCCGGACCTTGAATTCACTATATCCGCTCTCCCTGGACCCTGCATTCACTATATCTGGTCTCCCCGGACCCTGCATTCACTATATCCGCTCTCCCCGCACCCTGCATCCACTATATCCGGTCTCCCCGGACCCTGCATTCACTATATCCGGTCTCCCCGGTCCCTGCATCCACTATATCTGGTCTCCCACAGTACACACAACATGGAAATGCAATTATTTTAGTAAATATAAACTGCTAAATACCTTTTATCATCAGCAGTTAGAGCAGTCTTGTGACTTCTATCAGTGTCCAGCAGAGCACTGGTTAAAGCTTGTAGGAGGAGTTTTCTTTCTGCTCTAGGAGGATACTGAACCCCTGACCTCTGTCTGGACAGTGCTGATTGGCAATGCTGATCACATGCACCCTCCCAAGAAAAAAAAACCTCTCTAGCAATACACACCAAACTGAGCATGTGCATGTGACCACGGGTTCAGTCTGTTTTAGGTGAACCCGGCAGACGGGATCAAACAGCCTTTTTACACAGTGCAGATGATTAACCCCTTAGGTCCCACAGTGAGTATAACAAGCATGCTTTACTGCATCTACAGACTGATTTTACTGTTGTGGGTTTAGTAACACTTTAAGGCAAATATACTGTGCACTACAAGTGCAGTTGCTCTAGAGCTTAGTAAATGAGGGAAAGCTTCACTTTGCAAAGGATACCCAATCAGGTGCAAAGAAAATAACAAAAAAAGCATTTTTGTCTTGCACATGATTGGATTTTAGAAATCCGCAGTTTCCCTTCATTTCAGGACTACCCTTGCAGTGCACAGACTATTTGCCTTGAGTATATCAACGCCAATATTTGCTAAAGACTGTCACCAGCCCAGAGTTCATTGTGATACAGAAATTCCTGCCAGATAGCACAACCAAGACCCTGAAATCACTTTTCTTTCTCTGAAATTAAAGTGTTACTAAACCCAGGACCCTGCATTTACTTTATCTGGTCTCCCCGGACCCTGCATTCACTATATCTGGTCTCCCAGGACCCTGCATTCACTATATCTGGTCTCCCCGGACCCTGCATTCACTTTATCTGGTCTCCCCGGACCCTGCATTCACTATATCTGGTCTCCCAGGACCCTGCATTCACTATATCTGGTCTCCCAGGACCCTGCATTCACTATATCCAGTCTCCCCGGACCCTGCATTCACTATATCCGGTCTCCCCGGACCCCGCATTCACTATATCCGGTCTCCCCAGACCCCGCATTCACTATATCTGGTCTCCCAGGACCCTGCATTCACTATATCTGGTCTCCCAGGACCCTGCATTCACTATATCTGGTCTCCCAGGACCCTGCATTCACTATATCCGTTCTCTCTGGACCCCGCATTCACTATATCTGGTCTTCCCAGACCCTGCATTCACTATATTTGGTCTCCCCGGACCCTGCATTCACTATATCTGGTCTCCCCGGACCCTGCATTCACTGTATCCTGTCTCCCTGGACCCTGCATTCACTATATCCGGTCTCCCCGGACCCTGCATTCACTATATCCGCTCTCTCGGACCCCACATTCATATATATCTGGTCTCCCACAGTACACAGAACCTGAAATGCAATTATTTTAGAAAATATAAACTGATAAATACCTTTTCTTATCAGCAGTTAGAGCAGTCTTGTGACTTCCGCAGAGCACTGGTTAAATCTTGTAGGAGGAGTTTTCTTTCTGCTCTAGGAGGATGTGAAACCCCTGACCCTCTGTCTGGACAGTGCTGATTGGCCCTGTGCTGATCACATGCACCCTCCCAAGATAAAAAAAAACCTCTAGCAATACACACCAAACTGGGCATGTGCATGTGACTACAGATTCAGTTTGTATCAGGTGGACATTTCAACAAGAGGCGGATCAGAGAAGACATGATCAAACAGCCCTTTTACACAATGCGGAGGATTAACCCCTCAGGTTCCACAGTGAGTATAACAAGCATGCTTTACTGCATATACAGACTGATTGTACTGTTGTGGGTTTAGTAACACTTTAAGCAGAATAGCAAGGACTCAGCCTGGTTTGTTGATTGGACGATGATGTAACAGCATCACACTTATGAGGTCATTATTCTACTTTCTCCAATTATCAGAAAGATCCCAGGGAGAAATGGACTGCACTGAACAATACAGTACAGCTGCTCCGCCTTTTCCCAATCTGGCTCCTTATACAAAACTAATATTAGGCCAGTTTAGTTATTTAAATACACATTTATGAATTTTAGTAACAGCCAAAGAACCTACTCAGACATGGAGCAACAATGATCGGCATTGAATGGAAGGCCCACACTGGCTCTTCACACAGGAACTTCTGCAGTCTGTGTGTCAGTATAAAATCTTATTTATTTATTTCAGGTACTTATATAGTGTTTTCAAGTTACGCAGCGCTTTACATATATATTGTACATTCACATCAGTCCCTGACCATCAAGGGGTGTACAATCTAAGGTCCCTAACCCTCAAGGGGTGTACAATCTAAGGTCCCTAACTCACATTCATACATACACATACTAGGGACAATTTAGACAGGAGCCAATTAACCTACCAGCATGTCTTTGGAGTGTGGGAGGAAACCAGAGTACCCAGAGGAAACCCACACAGGCAGAACATGCAAACACCAGGCAGGTGGTGCCATGGCTGGGATTTAAACCAACGACCCTAGTACTGCCAGGCAGAAGTGCTAACCATTTAGCCACTGTGCTGCCCATATGAAGTTGAACCAATTCCAACATAACCCCCTTGAAGCCTCGAAGGATGTAAAATGTTGGTGCAATGTGGCTCAGGGGTTACAGACCAGAAGGAAAGGTACACAGTAAAAAGCAGCTCTCTACAGACTCCAGCCTTTGCACAGTACGAGATTCTCAGTGATTGGATGAGCTTTTCTAACTTTTCCGATCATTATGCATTTTTCTCCAGTCATCTTCCAGGACGGCACACCTGAGATGATTAGATTCACCTGACAGTTTAAATTCCCCATCCATAGTGTACAAATAAAGGGCAGCATTTAAACAGTTCAAACAAAAATATATAGAAATAATATTCAAAAATAATTCAAAATATTCATAAGTGAAATATCAAATAATGAAATTGAAGCAGAACAGTCCCCAAATGCCGTGATAAGGGGCTCCTGATGATGTCTGCCGTTCCCAGGACAAGTGTCCTTCCTCCCTCTATTCAGGGCAGCGGTGAGGTCTGTCCAGGAGAGGACTGGGCCGCAAGCTCTCTCTCTCTCTCCCTCTTGCAGGTATGGGGCTGTGGCTGGCATTGCTGGAGTGGTGCCCTGTAGCTGAGCCAGAGGACGGGGTGGCCACAGATCTCAGAGTGGGCGGAAGGGATCCGACACTGATCCGAGTTCCCTGAGTCTGAAGAGTGCAGGACCAGAAGTAGGAGTAGGGCTGCGTTCCAGGCCTCGCTCTCAGCTACTTCTGGCAGAGGTGGGACTTCCACCCTAAAGATGGTGGCGCCCATTGACTTTCTCTCTCTTTCCTGCTGAGGCTGGTGAGGAGCCTCAGGAATTTACCCCTGGAAACAGATCCAGGGCCCGGAGAAAGCAATGCAGTCCCAAAAGGAGCCCTGCTGTGATGGAGGAAAAGGTAGTGGCTGCAGCCACTGAGAAGGCCACGGGAAGTGAGTCTGCTTTGGCTGGTGGGGGACAGGGGGGGTAGAGCCTTACCCACTCCCCTACAGGTGTGCCTGGTTGTGGGGAGAATACCATTTAAATGGGCTCCTTATTTTTCTCTCCGTAGAGCTGTGTGGAACCGCCCAAGAGAGCACCCACATGACACCTAAGGAAAAAGCCCCCTCTGCAAACGGTGTGGTTATTGCAATGATAAGGTTCCAAGACCATGCCAGACCCTTCTGTTACAAGTGTATCCACAAGTTGCCAGGGAAAGAAACCTCGGTGGGTTTTGAAAGTTTTTTTGTCGGTACAGAGATGTTGCCCCCCTTACAATCCTTCAAAATGGCCCTGACATCTAGAGAGATGGGTACTTGGTCCCCTGGGTAGGGCCTTGGAGAGAATTTGTGGGGGGGGGGGGGGGTCTGGGCCCCTCATCTTCATAGGCCACAGAAAAGGAAGACTTGGAGGAGGTGGAGGTTTCGGACCAAAGCTCCCTGGGTGAAGGGGATGAATTAGAGGCTGATAGCCAGGCCAGTGAGGAATCTAGGCCAGGTAGACACCTTTTTGCAACAGATGAAATGAAAGGGCTCCTAAGGGCTTTTTCCATCTCAAAGGACATCCCTGACAACCTACGCAGGCCTCAGCCCAAGACAGGATGTATAGAGAGTTGGTGAAGCTGCAAACCAGGGTACTATTGGTACACCAGACTTTCAGATGTTATCTTGAGAGAATGGAAAGTTCCTGAGAGGACAGTTTTAAAACTAAACACCTGGAAAAGAGGGTACCCCTTTGGGGAGGAGGAGAAAGAGAAATTCTTCAAGACCCCCAGATTGGACTTGGTGCTATCGCAAGTGTCCAAAAAGTCGGACCTGTCCTTTGAGGATTCGGGTAATATCAAGGACCAGATGGACCGTAGATCAGAGTCTCTGTTGCATAGAGCCTGGGAAGCTAACACAGCTATTATGGCCCCTGCCTTGGCATTCACCTGCATTGCTAGGAATACGGATGCCTAGATGTACAGAGTAATTGAACACGTCTCTCGGGGTTCCAAGAAAAAGGGGGAAGCCCAGATGGAAGAGGTGTTAGAGTCCCTGGAAGTGGTCAGCAAGGTGGTCGCCTATTTAGTGGACGCTGCTGTAGTGATGGTCAAGACGTCAGATAAGACAGCAGCTTTGGTTAACTCAGCCCGGAGGGCATTGTGGGCTAAGGCCTTGGAGGGCAATCTGCCCTTTGAGGGTTCCTTGCTCTTTGGCTCAGAGTTAGATCAGGTGTTATCTAGATCCGCTCAGAAGGGAAAGAATTTCCCAGTCAAAATTAAGAAGGATAAGGGTAAGAAGTCTTTTCAAGCCCCCCTTAATCAGGGCCAACAGAAACCTAGGAAGTACCCTCCCAAGAAGTGGGCTAGTAAGGGAGACAGAAAGGGAGCTTTCTTTTTTACAGCTCCAAACCCACCAGTAAGGATCCCCAATGACTCAGATCCCAGGGTGGGCGGAAGCCTCTCCAGGTTTCACCAGCAGTGGGGGAAAATTTCGGACAACCCTTACATCCTGCAGTTGATAAAGTAGGGGTATCAGTTGGAGTTCACTTCGTTGCCCCCCCCAGGCCTTTATGTTGACTAACCCCCCCCAGAGACAGGGCAGAGGCAGAGGGTCTCTTGGGAGGGATCAGGGATTTAGTGGATCTGGAGGTAATTGTCCCGGTGCTGATGGACCAGCTTTTTCAGGGATTTTATTACCACGTCTTCGTGGTCTCGAGGCCATCAGGAAAATTACGGTTGATCATAAACCTAAAAAGGTTGAATGGGTTCCTGCGGTACACAATGTTCCGTATGGAGGCTATTTACAGTGTACGCAAACTCAAAGGAGTGTTTATAGCCATGGTGGACCTCAGGGATGCCTACCTCCACATTCCCATTGCCCCAGAATAACAAGCTTTCTTACGGTTTGCTATATTCACAGAGAAGGGGGTCAGTCATTGGCAGTTCCGAGCCCATCCATTCAGGCTGGCAGCCAGTCCGAGAATCTTCACCAAAGTCCTGGCTGTGGTAGTGGCGTATTTACACCTCCAGGGAATTTCCCTCATGCCTTACCTAAATGACCTTTTGATCTAAGTGTTCTCACATCAACAAGTTCTGAGAGATCTGGAAAAAGTAATGCTCACCTTGGAATGGCTGGGATGAATCGTCAATGGGGAAAAGTCCTCATTGACTACCTCCCAGACCAAGCCATTCCTGGGGTACATAGTAAACTCCAAGGTCCAGAGGCTCTTCTTACCCAAAGAAAAGATTGAGAAGGTAGTGGGGGCCGTTTCTGGGTTGATAACAGCTCCAGATTGCTCTCGGAGGCTCATCATGAGAGTCAAAGGGCTCATGACAGCCTATATATTGGCTGTGGAGTGGGCGCAGCTGCATTCCAGGGAGCTTCAGTTCTTCCTTCTATCCTCATGGGATAGAAAGACGGGTTCACTGGATGAGAGGGTGTCATTCCTGTAGAATACCCAAGATTCACTAAGATGGTGGATCAAGCCCCAGAATCTGGGGGGAGGAAGACCGTGGGCGCAGTGGGACCCAGTACAGGTAACCAAGTTACCTGGTACATTTGCAGATTAATCCTACTAGCCCCGTGGTGGCCAAGGATATATTGGTCCATCACCGGAGATCACACCGTCTTAGAAGTGGTCAGGTGAGTGGTTGCTGGAGGAAGCCCAGAGCTCTCTGTTCTGTAGCTACAGGTAATGCTGGAGGAAGCCCAGAGCTCCCTTTTCCATAGCTACAGGTAATGCTGGAGGATGCCCAGAGCTCCCTTTTCCATAACAACATAAGATTCCAAAAGCAAGCAGCCATGGTAATTTGCTCTCTCTATACCCTCCACCATGACCATCATTATCTCCTTGCAGGCCAGTGCACTCGTCAGTATTTTTCAGCCTCTATTACCACTGTCTAGTATTGGTTTACTAAAAAGAGATCTGCATTGGTGAAGTAAAGAGGCTAGACATTACTGACCAGTAGGGTTGAGGCCTGGCCTCTATGCAGGCAACAAATGTTCTTTCACACCAAACTACTCAAACTATGCTGGAGAAATCCCAGAGTTCTCTTATCTGTAGCAGCAGGTAATGTCCAAAAGCAAGCAGCCATGGTTGTTTGCTCTGTCTATTTCTTAGAGATAGGGCTTGTATTTTATCTTGTATTTTATTCAAAATACTAACTACAACATACAACAAGGCCGCCAACAACATTGCCCCCAGCTACATCACCAACCTCATCTGCAGCTATTGCCCAAACCGTCCTCTCCGCTTCTCCCAAGACCTCCTACTCTCCAGTTC